CGCATCTGTAACAACGGCCGCTGCGTCAACACAGAGGGCAGCTTCCACTGCGTGTGCAACGCCGGCTTCGAGATCTCAGCTGACGGAAGGAACTGCCAAGGTGACCCACAATGCACTGCAGTTTACAGACGGACATGAGCATGGGCCTTCGATAGTGAAAGAAACTAGATTAGACGGCATAACTTTCACACTGGTCTGCTTTTATATCTGCATTACCACTGATTGGACGCTAGGTGGTGCTGTGGAGTAATCGTCACTGCAGAAACGCAAAAATACTGATTGTTTCCAAACAGGTTTCACAGATACTCTGGTAAACTATCCTATTGCACACCTCTAAACTGATCAATGTGGACAGTTAGGCACTACGGTGGGTGGAGTCTGAGTGGGTGGGTGGAGTTTAACTGCATGGGTGGAGTCAGGGTGGGTGTGGTCTAATTTCAGGCGAGGTGTTTGAGTGAATGTAAATGACATGTTTGCAGGGTTCGCACAAGTGCTTGAATTTATATTTTAGAAATATATGTTCTAGAACACCTGGAAAATCATCTTCAGATTAATCACATTCTCTAAAGGAAGAAGTATTCCCATACGGTACTTAGCTGTGGAATAATCAGTAGAAGGCTATTCTTTTTTCAGAAACTGTTTTTTAAGCGTTCTCGTGTCATTACAGGGTGCTCAAGGCTGTATATGTTGTATAATTTGTATAATAGGAATTATTACATAAGTATATTATATAGAAATATCTTTCACATTCTGTTCTTAGAGACCATTTCACACAAAATGTGTTTTTTCATTCCACTGTGCTACTTTTCTGTTGTTTTTTATATAAACGTTGGGCTCGTTCGAAAAACAGCGTTCAAGTTCAAATAAGTTGAACTTTTTAAAAACGTGTTTTTCTCCGTTCCGCTGCCTGCGTCTTGTGTTTTTCAAAGCAAAAGCTTGTTCTGTGTGAACGGCCTCTTCGTCTGTATTCTTTTTGCATATTAAGTTCTGGTTTGATTTTTTCAAAAAGAATATAATAAGCAAAGAGAATGTTAGAAATAAAGTAAATTAAGAAAAACATGTATTATATGTAAGTCCTTAAAAATATAGGTGCTAGAAAAAGTGCTGGATATTCATGAGGTGATGAATATCTGTGATATCACAGATTTCTGTGTGTGTGTGTGTGTGTGTGTGTGTGTGTGTTTTAGACACTGATGAGTGTTTGATAAGGAACATCTGTCTGAACGGCATGTGCATCAATGAAGACAGCAGCTTCAAGTGCATCTGCAAACCTGGATACTTGTTAGAGGGCACCGGACGATTCTGTGTGGGTAAGTGAACACACACACACACACACACACACACACACAAACATACATACTCACACACACACACACACACACTCTCTCTCTCTCTCACACACACACACACACACACTCTCTCTCTCTCTCACACACACACACACACACACTCTCTCTCTCTCTCACACACACACACACACACACTCTCTCTCTCTCTCACACACACACACACACACACTCTCTCTCTCTCTCACACACACACACACACACACTCTCTCTCTCTCTCACACACACACACACACACACTCTCTCTCTCTCTCACACACACACACACACACACTCTCTCTCTCTCTCACACACACACACACACACACTCTCTCTCTCACACACACACACACACGTACGCATGCACGCACACACACTCAAAAATAGCATTCTCATAATGTTTGCATCTTCCCTTAAAGGGACAGTTCACCCAAAAATGTTATTCTGTCATTTACTCTTCCTCGAGTCGTTCCAATCCTGTGTGAGTCTCTTTCTTCTGTTGAACACAAAATAAGATATTTTGAAGAATGTTGGTAACCAAACAGTTGATGGTAGCCACTGACTTCCGTAGTATTTTTCCATACTATAAAAACTCAATAGGTACCGTCAACTGTTTGGTTACCAACATTCTGCAAAATGTCTTCATTTTCAGTGAACTATCCCTTAATGTTCATATAACTGAGAAAAACATTCAGAAATAAGAATGTAAATTTGTGAGCTGATCTGAACAGTCTTCTGTGAGGATTTTGATCAGGTTTGAGGTGTTTTGTGATGTGTGCAGACGTGTGTGTAGCGTGTCGTGTGTTCTGTGTGTGTCAGATGTGGACGAGTGTGAGGTTCCCGGCATGTGTATGAACGGCCACTGCGTCAACACCGAGGGCTCGTTCCGCTGCGAGTGTATGCCGGGACTCGCCGTGGGGCTCGACGGACGCGTCTGCGTAGGTGAGAGCAGCCGCACACACACACACACACACACACACACTGTTGTTCGCTGTCTCATTAAGAGTTTTGTTTGTTGTTCTGCGTGTTGAAATGGTGTTCTGCAGTCATTTAGTCGATGGCTGTTTATCACGGCATGTTGTTGTTGAAATGCAGTGCTGAGGAGGTTTTGCTCTCCTGCAGACACACACATGCGAAGCACGTGTTACGGAGGATATAAGCGCGGTCAGTGTGTGCGACCGTTCTTCGGCGCCGTGACCAAATCCAAGTGCTGCTGCGCCAGTGTGGAGTACGCCTACGGAGAGCCGTGCCAGCCGTGCCCGATTGTAGTAAATATAATAATTATATTCTTATTATATTGTGTATTATAAAATGTAATGTTATAAAATTATTAAATATATTTTATTATAGAAATGAATATAATTGAATTTGCATATTACCCATATTTCACCCAAAAGTCCCCAAAAAAATTTTTTACATTAAAATATTTATCATAAAATATAAAATATATTAATAAATAATAAAATTAAATAATGAATACAAATATTTAAATAACATGTTATAATTACATAAAAATACAGTTACATTTATATTAAATATTAATATCTATACATATAAACATTTAAGAGGTGTATGCCTAAAACTATTTCTTACTTTTTTCTTATTATTTTTGGGTGAATAATGAACCGGTTATGTTCTTTGTGAGACTAATTCATGTATTTTACCTGCATGTACGTTCACGTGCGTGTGTTTAGATGTGAATCTCTCTCTGTGTGTCAGATATAAACGAGTGTGCGCTGGATCCTGATATCTGTCAGAACGGCGTGTGTGAGAACATGCTCCGAACATACAAGTGTAACTGTAATCTGGGCTTTGAGGTGGACATCAGCGGGAAGACCTGCATCGGTCAGTATCTCTGCAGACATTAGCGTGTGAAGCGCGCAGACGTCTGCATCACGCATGTGCGTCTGTGTTTCAGATGTGGACGAGTGCATGATAAACAGACACCTGTGTGAGAACGGCCTGTGCAGAAACACACCGGGCAGCTTCACCTGCCACTGTCCGAAGGGCTTCACCTTCCAGCCCGAGACAGAGG